CTATGAATTTTCCCACGGATAAATTTTCTCCCACGATGAATTTTTCTCCACGATGAATTTTCCACGATGAGTTTTTCGTAAATCCAGCGAAATGTAGGTGCTGTGTGGCTACTAAGGCGAGGTCTCTACCAGTTAAGCCGTTAAACCCAATGAAATGAGGTCGTAGTTAAATATCAATCCTAACTTTAAGAAAAAATATAAAAAAACTGTTTGATATATTGTTAGTGAAGTTGAACAAATAAGTAATGTTTAGCCCAATCAGAAATCCTCTAAACACAGAAAATTTGATTACAAATCATTGTCCTTCAAGCCGACAAGCAAACAAGTGTGTGTAATAATGTTATATTGTGATCAAATATATATTTAACAAGTGAGTTGAATTTTCTTACCAAGTTACATATACATAATATTAATAATTCTAATTGTTAGTTTAATAAAATACAGCTTAAAACCTGATTACATTCAAGTTACAAATAATGAACAAGTTTTTTAAAAATTATGTTTTTACGTGTAGAAATAAGTGAATATTGAATAAAAACTTTAAAAAAATTTACATTTTAATTATTATTTTCTCGAAAGTTTGCGTTTACTGCATAGTGTTTTTAATCTTAAAATTGTTCGAATAAAAAATCAGATAAATTTCTAACATGCATCTATGAATGTTATGATTGTTGTAAGGTTCAATTACTTTTGCAAACATGGGTGTTGGTATGTTGGAACCTACATTACCTCTCTGGATGTTTGACACAATGCACTCATCAAAGTGGATGCAAGGTACACCATGTTCAAATTAATAAGTCTTTTAACTAGCAAACTAAAATAAATTTTTGTTTATTTCAATACATTTTGAAGACCAGCAAAACGATGATGATTGACGTTGTTGAGCAATTTTCAATTTTTTAATGTCTATGAAATCTCTATCATTCAGTGGCGGATCTAGACAACTTTGACGAGGGGGGGGGCCAAAATTTAAAAAATTTTTAAAAGTTTAATTTTTTTCAAATTTGGGCAGGGGGACAAGACTTGTGGTAGCGTTGCCAAAATTAGGCTGGCGACCTTTTTTGGATATAAAATGGTGTTTTTTATGCAAAAGCTGAGTTCTTTTAATAAATATACTGCTCACAACTGGGTGATAGTCTCTCTGGCCTTACCCCAAGATCCGCCACTGAATGTATATGTATAATAAATATTCATTCAGTGGCGGATCTTGTACATTCAGTACTGTATTTTAATAGCGCTCTGAAATTCCCCTGATTGTTATCAGATTTGAGATCTAATGCATCGTCATTCCGGTATCCACGCAAAGAAGAAATTCTGTCTTTCAAAATGTTTATAGTTTCAATAATAGTGTTAAACAATTTTCTGTTTTGCTCTATTTTTGTGGAAAGAGCGGAGTTTGATAACTCTAAAACATTAGTTTTATTTTTAATCAAACTCATTTTTGATTTTTCTGTAGCCTCTCTATGAAAAGATGTCGCTTGATGACAGCGACATTGATCTAAAACTGATTTATAACGATTTAAAGGTGATATAACAAATACTCCGACTGAGCCACATGATGGATGTCGATTAGCATAAAGTTTACACAAAACTTACAGAATGCTCCTTTTTCAAATCAGAATAAGACAGCCAGGAAAATTCTTGAAACCAATGGAATTTAAAAAACCGTTTTCTTTTACCTTTCAACACAAATGAAAATTTATAATTTTCGTCAGGTTCCCATGAATTTTTCAAAAGATCATATCTTAAATTATTATGAATTACCAGTTTTGTCTGAAACATAAGTCATGTCATCGTTAAACTTAAGGAAAGGCCTTCTTCCAAGACATCAGATTCTATAATAGAAAAAAAACGTTGAAAATAAATTTTTTAATTTTCATACCAGACCTGAATAGTTAAATACTACAAACTTAATTCAAGTCTAGTCGGGTAATGACTGGTACGCATTAACCCTAACCCAAAAAAATGTTTTTATTATTCAGTTTATTGCTAATTTTTTTAGTTGAAAATACAAAATTATTTCATATCCAATTATTGAAATATCTAGGCTTCAATCAACTGTATTAAGATCATCGCACTGCTTCTGTTTTTTTGCCGGAGTCGGTTGAAAAATGTTTAAAATACTACTTTTTTAAAAGACATTTTTTTTTAATTTTAAAACGAATTCAAATGCAAACTGATTTTATGAAACACAAAAAAATAATATATGACGCGCCAAATCGTAAACGGAATAAAATGTGAACTGCGAACAAAACATAAAATTATGAAAAGTCTAAATAAATAAAGACTATAATAATTTTTGATTTACTTTTTGTTGATATTTGTTTTCAATAAAAAAATATACTAAGAAAACATGAATTATTTTTATTTTGTGCTGCAAAACACTATTCAAGTTTAAAATATGAAGAATATTCTGAAATAAACTTGTATCAAATTTATATAATAAATCAGCGCTATTTTTTAATGTTAAAAAGAGTCGTTCTCGAAAAATTTGTTTCTATTATTTAACGCTGTCTTGAATTGAACTGATGATAACGAGGGGAGCCAACCCCCCCCCCCCCCTAAATCCGCCACTGCTATCATTTACCTATTGCAAATAACCGATTACATTAAAATTATCTATTAATTATTAAGTTTAAGCATCTCGAGGTTGATACATGATTTTTTTTACAAAATCTTTAATTGTGGTTTAGTATATCAATAAATTTATAGTTTTTAAAATTAGTGATGCGATTATTTACAAAAACTCCTTACTCGAAAGAATTTTTAAAAAGTACAAAAAACTGCACTCCTAAAAACAATTCTACTTTGAAACGTATTCATGTAATATATGAATTTAAATGCCCTACTGACGACTGTGTGCGTCAACATCATTCGTATATTGGTGTTACGACCACTTCATTATAAAGACGTCTCACAATGCTTATACAAAGAGGAGAATATTTTATCAAAACACCAACAAAATACATTTAAAAATTGCAGAAGCTGTCCTAATAGATATCAACAAACCACAAATAAACATCCAACAAAGAATGATTACATCTTTACCAGCTCGATGCCTTAATACTAACTTTAATAACAATGAAGAACAAAAGAATAACAAAAACAAAGATAAAGAATACGATATCAACTAATAAACTTTGCTAAAGAACTTTTCTTTGTTTAAAGAAACGGCGTGATGGCTCGATGGTTAAAGGCGCCTGGTCTTGCAATTACAATGACTGGGTTTGAATGCAAAGAGGTCCCCGCCTATCATATGCAATGTGTATGATGCGTGGTTTGCACGCGTACTCATATACGCTGTGTGTGATTGTCGTTGAAACCTCTGAAGCAAACGCAAAAGAGGGAGATTAACCTTTAATCTTTAACCTTTATATAAACCAAATCTGCACTGAAGATGATTTATAAAAGATCGAAATAAGACCTTATCTGCATGATGAATTCGGATAACAACAGTTTTATTAAATTTTCTTGATGAACTTGGTTAATTTTATTTTAAACAAATTAAACAATTTCCACATTGAAAATTGAAAATGCAAATTTTAAATTGATTAATGCCAAAATTTCGGTAGAATTCATACAATACTGTATAAAATATGGTCTCTTTCCAACAATATATATATATATATATATATATATATATATATATATATATATATATATATATATATATATTGATGAAAATCACAGCATGTTCGGCGTTAGTTAACCTCCAATTTATTTTTACGATAAGTCTAACGGTTGATCGTAATTCATTTTCAGGCTTCTTTAGTTCAAAACCAAAACTTTTATTTTATGAATGATAGAACAGAAAAGCTTTTTTAGGTATTTGCCATTTTCGGTGTTCAAATGTATATGTTATGTTTATATATATATATATGTTGGTAATAGACCATAATTTTTACAATATTCTATAAATTCTACCGAATGTTTGGCGTTAATATGTTTGTAGCTCGTTTTTTCAATTTTTCTCACTAAAGTTTCTTGGTGAACGTTTAGTTTATTAAAATTCAAAATAAACTTATTTTCCGAATTCATGCTGCAAATAAGGCCATATTTCGATTCCAAATGAATCATCATCAGTGCTTTCTGCTTATATATATATATGTGTGTGTGTGTGTGTGTGTGAGTGAGTGTGTGTGCGTTGGTGAAAAGTAGAAAAGTAAACAAGCATGTCTGTCATAATTAATGATGTTTTGTACCTCTTAATAACTTTGATTTGCTGGACAAAGAAAGTTTAATTTATAATGTTTCTGAATTTCACACACTCGAAGATATTTCTGGTGCTGTTAAATTGTTAAAAAATAATTATGAAGCTGTTAAAAGTGAAATCTGTGAAATATTTGCCACGCAGGATATTAAGAAAAAAAGATAAATTACTGTATTGTATTTCCATTTTTAAGTGTTTTAAAACTCATGGCTTATTGGATAAATGTCCCGTTTATGTTAGTAAAGATTTAAAAAAAAATTCTTGCCTAGAAAATTTATAAAGGTAAATTTTGTGGGACTACGTAATGGCATTTCTGAATTAGTAAAAGATCAACATTTGGTTATCAATGATAAAAGTGAAGCTAGTAACAAACAACTGTGCGCAGTCAATGACAAATTAAATACTATAGCGACCAATAGTAGTAGGTCGTCTGAAGTAAACGTTGATAGGAAAATTAATTCTGCGCTCCCTGGAGATTCTAAATGGGCGGATGATATAGCTTTAAAAACGCCAATAGTAAGTCAAGATGGTTTCAAATTGGTCTAGCACAGAAAGTGGCGTCCTGATCCACCTTCACATAATAGGAAAATTTGGTTAAGCGTAGACTGCCTCAGAACTCGAAAATTTCAGCTAGTAGATTAATGACTAGTAGAAAATTCTATCATATCAGCAACGTTGCCAAATGTGCTAGTAAAAACCTGATTGAACTTTTGTGACTCATAGGAGTGGAGGCCATTTCCTGCTATCCAGCGTTCAAAAAGTTCATTGAACCCAATCCTAAAGACACAAATTAGTCCACATCCTTCAGGTTATGCGTCGACAGCCCCGGTTTACGATTGTCTTTTTCTTCTCGCTTTTTCTTAACTGGTGTTAAACACTCTTTTGCCAAATCTGCTTTTGCTTTTTCTGGTCCTTTTCTCTGGAACTCTCTACCTACTTCTCTGACTACTTCTCCATCACTTGCGAAGTTTAGAGCAGATTTCAAGACCCATCTGTTTTCAAAATTCATTGAGGAGCGCTGTTGAACATTGCGGAAATAGCGCTTTATAAGCTAATTGATTGATTGATTGATTACTGATATAGTTGAAAATATCGACTCATGGCCAATTCAAGTAAATATCTGTATCTCATTCAAAGCTCTGAAGATGGTGTTTAAACAGAAACCACGTTGTTAGCCAAATTATGTCACTTGTTCTCAATAAATACGATTTACAACAATTCCATATCGTTGAGTGTATTTGTGGGCAAAAATTATCAATAAAATTTGCATGTACACACACACATATATATACATATATATACATATATATATATATATATATATATATATATATATATATATATATATATATATATATATGATGATTAGCCATTTAGTCGAAGTCGACTTTCGGCCACTTTATGGATCTGTCTTCTCCATGCGTTCCTGTCCTCGACGATTATTTTAAGTTCTGAGATCGCCATTTTGGTGGCCGATGTGATTGTATTAAGCCAAAGTATTCTTTGCCGTCCTTTTCTTCTTTTCCCACTCACTTTACCTAGCATCATTTAAGTTTCCAGCGAACTTGCGCGCATAACATGGCCGAAAAAGAAGAGTTGTTGTTTGACGATTTTGCCCTCAAGCGACATTTTTGGCTTGATACGGTCCAAGACCGTCTTATTTGTTGTTCGCAATGTCCAGGGGATACGCAGTAGTCTTCTCCAACACCAAAGTTCAAAAGCGTCGATCCTTCTTCTTTCGGCTTTCTTTATTGTCCAACTTTCACATCCATAAATAGCTATGGGAAAGACAATGGCGTTGACGAGTCTCGTTGCAATGCTCACATCCTTGCTCCTCTAGATTTTATCTATTCCTTGCATTGCAGCCCGGCCGAGTGCAATCCGCCTTTTGATCTCTGGTCCAGATTCGCCGTTTCGGTCAATTTTGGCTCCCAGGAAAATGAAATCTTGTACTGTCTCGATCAGTTTATTGTTGATCTTGATGTTTACTGCATCATTGCATGCCGTTGTCATTACTTTCGTTTTCTTGATGTTGAGGTACAGTCCCATGCGTTCACTTTCCTCTTGAACTCGTTGGATCAAGTATTCCAGGTCTTTCTCACTTTCTGCAGGTATAGTTGTGTCATCCGCATATCGCAGGTTGTTGATAGTTCTACCTCCAAGTTGGACTCCGATTGTGGTCTCGTCCAGATTGCATCGTCGCATGATGGTTTCGGCATACAGGTTAAAGAGAACTGGGGATAAAATGCATCCCTGCCTGACGCCTTTACCGATTTTGAACCAATCGCTGTTACCATACGATGTTCTGATAGTTGCTGCCTGATTGGAGTACAGTGCTTGTATCAATTGTTCAATGTGCTCTGGAACGCCCATTTGTTTCAAACACGTCCAGAGTTTGTCATGGTCCACACAGTCGAACGCCTTGGTATAGCTAATGAAACACATATAGACGTCCTTCTGGTATTCTCTAGCTTTCTCCATGATCCAGCGTAGGTTCGCAATTTGATCCCTCGTGCCTCGTCACTTGCGAAAGCCAGCCTGAACATCTGGTAGTTCCCGTTCCATGATTGCCACAATGCGGTTTTGTATAATTTTTAGCAGGATTTTGCTGGCATGGGAGATGAGCGCGATAGTTCGATAGTTGGAACATTTCTGTTGATCGCCTTTTTTAGGAAGAGTGACGAAAACTGATCTTGTCCAGTCGTTGGGCCATGATTTTGTGCTCCAGATTTTCTGACACAATTTGGTAAGGATTTTTACTGGTATTTGCTTGAGTAGTTCTGCTGGTAAATTATACGTGCCTGAGGCCTTCCTGTTTGGTAGTTGTTTTAAAGCCCAACTGACTTCTTCTTCCAGGATGTCCGGTTCCAGATCAATCTGTTTGGGTTGAACAACCAGTTGGATTGATGGATTGCCAGCGTATAGCTCCTCTGTATAGTCCCGCCATCGTTGCTTGATTTGCCCTTCTTGCAATATTGTACTATCACTGTCCTTGACGGTAGACACTTTGCATGTCGTGAATGATTTTCTGGCCTGCTTGACATAGGTAAAAAGAGTACGGGTATGACCGTGTCGGTTCGCCTTTTCTAGTTCCTCGCATTGGTTCTTCCAGTATGCTTCTTTGTCCTGTCTGGCCCTTTTTTGGAACGCCGCATTGAGTAGTCGGAATTCTCGATATTCCCCTTTGCCTTGGCCATGCGACGATGCTCGGCAATCTTGATTGCTTCGTCCGTCAGCCACTTCGATCTTTTCATTGATTTCTTGAACGGGATGATTTCCTCTGCTGTTTTTCCCACGATCGATTTGATTTCCTCCCACATTTTATCAGGCTCTTCATTGAAATCGCTGAATGCCTCAAATCTGTTCTTTATTTCTACTGCGTATTGGGTGGGGATGTTGTCTGTGTCAAAGCGGCGTAATGCTTGAGGTCTCTTAATGGTGCTGAAACGAATTTTGATTTTAGCAACCAGTAGCTGAGGATCGGAGCCGCAGTCAGCGCCTGGATAGGTTTTCGTTGCTAGTATTGAGCTTTTCCAGCAGCGCTGACATAGGATGTAGTCGATTTAGTTTCGATGTATACCGTTTGGTGCTGTCCAAGTGTGCAGCCTTCGTTTCGGCTGTTCAAACCAAGTGTTCATGATCGAGAAACAATTTTCTGTGCAACATTGGATCAGGCGGTCTCCTGCGTCATTTCGTTCACCAAGACCAAATTTGCCGACGACAGGCAAGTCTTCACCTGATCCGACTTTCGCATTAAAATCTCCCATTACAAAGATTATGTCACGAGCTGGGATCTGGTCGATTGTCTCTTGGAGTTTTGTATAGAAATCTTCGATGTCTTTCTCTGGTGCATCTGCTTTTGGTGCATATTTTTGTAGAACCGTGATTGAGCGGAGGCTTACAGTGATGCGTATGGATATAATTCGATCACTAGCAATGTTAAAAGAGTATACGGCTTTGCTGACTGCTTTTGTTGCGATGAATGCCATTCCATTGCGTTTGATGGTGTCGTTTCCAGAGTAGACGACGGTGTATTCATCGCTTTTGAAATATTCATTACCCGTCCAGTGAAGCTCGCTGATGCCCAACAGATCGATATGAAGTCGTTGCATTTCTTGCTTGATGATTTCGAGTTTGCCTATGTTCATGCCGCGAACATTCCATGTGCCAATATTGTGAATAGTTGTTGTAAAACGTAGACGCTTCCTTTTGCTCTGAGCCACATCAGCAGGCGGGAGTCCTGATGGATTTGTCCCGTCCACGTCATAAATGCCTTCGCTACTTGAAATACGTTCACGTTCATCCCTGGTAATATGATAGGTGCTTTCCAGCCCAGGGGTCTCACTTTCCAGCACCATATCTGAACTTATTTGATTGTACTGATCCATAAGGTATTTCTGCAAAATAGTGAGGTAGTTTGCTATTTCTTTCCTCACCCCTCCCCATTTATCCGGGCTTGGGACCGGCATGTAGTTGTTGCCAACTACAAGGCTGGGTTATATATATATATATATATATATACAAATATAATTATATATATATATATATATATATATATATATATATACAAATATATATATATTTACAATATTCTATAAATTCTACTGAATGTTTGGCGTAGAATTTATAGAATATTGTAAAAATTATGGTCTATTACCAACATATATATATATATATATATATATATATATATATAAAATTTGGTTGAATGTTCTTGCAGGGCCTCACGGATTTTCAACCTACCCGGGTGGGTTTCTGTGTCGAGTATCTTGGTATTCGCATCGAGTATGGCTCGCGTGAGGTTCGTGCGGTGCGCATTAAACATATGGTCCTTAATGCTCACGCGAGCCATACTTGATGCGAATACCAAGATACTCGACGTTTTTTGGTTGGAATAGTTTAATACTATTCGTTTTTGTTGATTGCTTGGGAGTTATTTTTTATGATTCTTTTAATAATTTTTTCATCCTGTTCGAAAGCTGTTGACATGTGATTCTTATAATATATTACTATGTTATTATTGTTACTAATGTTGGTTGCACTGTTGTTGTTGCTTTTTTTTCTACGCGTTATTGTTTTCCGGATCATGTAATTTTTATATCCATAATTAATTTGTGTATGTTTGTATATATGTTAAGTGATTCTATCTAGTTCTGTTCTTCTGCTTTTTATATAAAAAGAGTGCCTGTAGGCTCGGTTTACAAAGGCAGAAATCGTGCTCTTTAGATATGTTTAACAACATTTACTATTGCCATTGAGGTATAAACCTTTGATTGTTGCTTTGGTGTAGATTGAGGTTTTAAATTCATTTTGCACAGTTTGTATTAGTACGTCTAAAAATGGTAGTTAATTGTCAGTTGATTTTTCCATTGAAAACTTTAATTATGACGAATTTAGTCGTTGTAGAAGTCTTTCTTTAAATACTTTGACAAAAGTGCTTTATCAATCACCTACTCCACGTTGTATATTCTTTGTTTATTCTACATATGTGATGTGTATATGCTATATAATAGTCTGTGCACACTGCTATTATCTGTTTTTTTTTTTGTATTTAGCTTTGTTGATAGTGAATCATTTCAAGACATTTTTCGTTTGGTTTGCCCTAGTCTTTCTATTATGTGTCAACAGACGCTGCAGGTAATAATTAATAAATTGATTTTGGAATTGAAGGAGACTGTACGAAATCAGTTTGAACAGGCACAGTATGTATGCACGACTGCAGACCTATGGAGTTCATCCAACAGATCATTTTTAGGTATAACTGCTCACTGGTTTGATGTTTCAAGTCTAGAAAAAAAATCTGCTTCTCTAGCATGTCTGCGCTTTACAGGGAAACACTCATATTATAAAATTGCTTCAGCAATCAGTCAGACACATGCTAGCTTTAATATTGAAAGTAAAGTGTTGTTCACGTGCACTGATAATAGATCAAACATGATGAAGGCATTTTGTGAGAGTTCTGCAGTTAAAAAGCAGTTATTGTCTGAAAATGATAAAGACTTTAAGTTTTATGGTGATGCTGAAGATGCTTCGTTCGACACAGGGGTTGGAGAGGCTATAAAAAAATACAAGGCAGAGACAGATGTTATGATCCTTCCAGATCATTTGAGGTGTTGCTCACATACAATAAATTTGATTGCTACAATTGATGCTGAAAATGCTCTAGAAGATAACAGCTATAAAAAGCTTTATCGCCAGGCTATGGCCAAAGCTACTGCGATTTTGAATTTTACAAAACGTAGTACAAAAGCTGCTGATGCTGCATTTGAGATAAAAGTTTATCGGTTTTCAATACCATGTGTAAAAAGATGGAATTCATTATACAACTCTGTTAAACTGATCATCAACTGTGAAGAGAAAAAAGCACAGGTGTGCAAGGTTCTTGGCTTACCCCCACTGTTCCACTCTGAGGCAGTTTTTTTAAAAGAATATATATTAGTAATGGCTCCAGTAACCGCAAGTCTTGACATTCTGCAGGGAAACAAGACTTGTTCACTTGGCTATTTTTGCCTACATTGACGACTTTAACGAAAAAGCTTATTTCAATGGACCTGAAGCACACGATTTTTTTAAGAGATGCCTTATTACAGGAGATTGACAAACGTTTTGGAATTTATCTTAGTGATAAAGAATTTCTACTGGCGTCAGTGACTCATCCTTGCTTTAAACTGCAGTGGATAGATGATTCAAAACTCAAGGCGAAATGCCTGCAACTTTTAGAACAGTCTGTGTCTACTATTACATCAAGTACATCAGAACCAGTTTATAAAAGCAAGATCAATGACAGTAAAACAGAAACGTTTTTTGACTTTGATGATGATTTATCCACAAAACAATCGCAACAACATTTTCAGTATCTTAATGATAAAAATAAAGATTTAAAAATGTTAGACAAACATTTAAAAATTAAACAACTTTTTATTAGATATAACACAGCATTGCCTTCAAGTTCCCCAGTTGAACGTCTATTTAGTTCAGGTGCTCTTATTCTAAGTAAACAGCGTAATCGTTTATCTGATGATCTGTTTGAGACATTACTGCTCTTTAAAGTTAACCAACATTATTGGTGAATTTTAAGTATTAATGTCTTTTTTCATTTCTAATGGAAACATTTATGAGATTTACTAAAATGTGATGTGGGTGTATATGAAATAATAAAAATAAAAAATTTGTTAATTCATGACCCTTTTTTATTAATGTGCAAATTATAGTATCAAATGAAAACTGCATGGTATTTAAAATAATTTTTAAATACTTGTAGCCACTATTTAAATACTTGTAGCAGTATTTGGTATTTAAATACTATTTAAATACTGAATTTTGACCAAGTATTTGTAAAGTATTTAAATACTCAACATGTGTGTATTTTAACAACACTGAGTATATAGTAGGTTTTTTGCTCTGGTTCTTCTTTAAATAACATTTCGTCGATATGGCCAACATAGAAGTTTGCGAAGAGTACTCCCAACGGAAAGCCCATTGCTACACCGTCTATTTATTTCATCTTCCCACCCCTTAAATGTGTTCCTAATATAAAAAAAATGTAACAATTGCAAAATTTTAATGTATTATATTGATATTTACTGGTAGCTCAACAAAGAAACGTTTACAAGCCAAATTTCATCATAATAACGTTAACACACTTACAGAAAATGTTTCACTATGATCCCATATTGTCTAGTATTTACTTTCTTCTCGCAGCAATAATGGTAGACTTCTTTGGATTTGGGAAGTCTTTGCGATGTTTCTCTATCACTTGGAACAAATACTGCAATTGGTCTTCGCCATTTGTTAAAACTCTGTTGAACTCCTGAATTAAGGCCACTCCTCTCTCGGCGGCATCGTGACAGCTTTTAAACTTTTTACTTTCCGTTGACCAATAATGTAGTCATTGTCAGTGTTCCACATGTCTGGACTACTGCTCAAAAATTTTTGTGGTATATCCAAAGCAGTGAACAGTTGCCTGGTACGTTGCGATAGGAAGTCCGAAAGCCGCTTCTCTGATATTGTGTGCTGGAATGTAATGCGTCATATAGGTTGATCGGTTGTTGCCTTATCCAGTGCCTCAACCATGGCTGATTTCGTCGCAGATGAGACTTCCGAGTCAAAGAATGCTAAGCCGATCAATACATTATTCAAGTACCATAAATGACCAGAGTATGACTTCAACGCAGCATTAGCAACAGCTTTATTTGTTTTCTTGTAGTTTTCTAACTCTCGAAGCAGCAGCAAGTCATTGTTTGGAGCAGATGAAGCACATGGAGAGGTAAACCAGGACTTTATGTACACCTTCAGTACAAAAGTGTAGAAGTGGCCAATAGATGTCAAATCATGGGTAGTAAATCTGAATTGTGAATGAATTTTTGAGGCTGTAAATCAATTTTCCCATCCATCTTGCTTAATGGCAAGCTCCAGGAGCCCGAATGTTTTTGTCTTCACTATGCTCCAAGAAACAAAAGCAATAGATGAAGAAACTGTTAGATGGGTTGAAACTGTATAATTGATGCTGAATGAAATAAATGAGGTCGTTTTTGACTGGTATGAGAGCCGATTCTTTATTTTAGAGATAATGTGACAGTCTTTACGAACTGGAATGCGTGCCTTGTCCCAGAACTGGACGACTTCTTTGGTAGTAACTGCGGCACTATAAGGAATAGAATGCAAATCTTTCTGATGAAGATGAAAGAAATGTTGTAACACCTGTCGTTTGGAAGGAAGTTTTCTACCGTTGATTGTTGCGATAGTTCCCCCAATCAGCCAAATACAACGTTTTTTAGATGAATCAAACTGCTGCTACTACTATTGGTAAAACTTTACATCTAATGTTCCACATTCGTGAAATTTCAATTTCCAGATTTTTATACTTACATCTTTTTTCTGCTTCTTTTGAAATAATATTAGCGTCAGTCAGTATCGATATTTCAATCAACAGGCATATTTTTTCAATCTTATTCATGACAGTGATATCTGGTCTGTTGGCATTAATTTTTCTATCTGTAATTATCTGTGAATCCCACATTATAATAATTTGCTCATCCAGGTTGATCACATTTGTCGGTTCATACTCATAATATTTTTTATCTATCTTCATTTTGTTGTGTTTACAAATTGACCAGTGAATATATTTTGCTAGATTGTTGTGTCGCTTCATGTAGCTCGTTGGCGCTATCAAAGCAATAGAACAAAACACCGAAGCAATAAAACATAGCATCAAAGTAATTAGCCCGAACAGAGAAATCATATCAATTAATAAAAAATATAGTAAAATTAACAAATTTAATAATAACAATAAAGAAGATAATAAAATTAACAAAGTCAATAATAACGGTAGATGCAAATCACAAGAACAAAGGCCTGGGTTATACAAATTCTTTGTATAAACTGCAACATTTAATGGATTATATAAATTCTCTATATAAACTGCAATCAATCAATCATTAGCTTATAAAGTGCTATTTCCATCACAATAATCAATCCTTGGTACAACTAACGATGTAACATGAAGGAGAAGAGTAGGATCGTCAAAAAAAGTCAAAAGTTTTTTATTCTACTTCGATCGATGAAAGTAAAAACTTTTAGCATCACTATTAATCTGAGAAGAAAGAAGCATACTATAATCAATGATAAAGCCTAGACTATGAACTTGTGAGAAACATCAAGAGTTTTAGAATAAGGTGAGATAATAGGAGGAATAATTAAAAATTGTTTAGATTTATCAAAACAAATTAATTCAAATTTAGAAGAATTAAGTTTAAGACACATAGAGTCAGACTAAGCAATAATTGAAGAAACATATAGAGATATTTTATGAAGAACACTATTGAGATTAGATGGAGGACAAGAAGTATAAATATAAGAATCATCAGCATTTAGTTGACTAGTGAAAGAAAAATTATTAATAATACGGGGTAGTTCAAAAGTACATAATATAAATAGAAGAGGGCCAAGAATAGAACCCTGAAGTACCCCAAAAGTAAGAGTAGAGGAGTTAGAAGTAAAATTATTGAGAACAACAGAAGAAAAACGACTACAGAGATAAGATGAAAACCAAGATAGAAAAGAATCAGTAATATTAAAAGAAAGATGCAGCAGTCTCAAGAGAATAGTATGGTCAACAGTATCAAAAGCAGAGAAAAAGTCAAAGCAAGAAGAAAAGTAAGATTATTATTGTCACTAGAGAGAAGGATATCATTATGTATTTTAAGTAAAGAAGTTTCAGTACTGGGAGCAGGTCTGAAACCAGATTGAGATACTTGTAGCAAGGAGTTAAAGTTTAAATAAAATGACAATTGATAATAAACTACTTTTTTCATTATATTAGAAATAGAAGTAATATTAGTCACAGGTTTATAACTAAATAAAGAGGAAGGATCTAAAGATGAGTTTTAAGATTAGGAATAACAATAGAATTCTTATAAGAAGTGGGTAATTTATAGGTAGAAAGAGATAAATTAACTAATTTGAAAACGATAGGATAAAATATTGAAGAAAATCTTTTAAATTGGAAGGAAGCAGATCTAGAAAACAAGTTGTAGATGGCAGAGAATTAATAATTTTAGTAAGTTCTAGAAGATTTATAGGAGTAAACACAGAAAAAGATTCAGTAGTAAGTTTAGTAAAGTTATGTGAAAAAAAAATTAGAATTAAATATTTTTAAAGAATTAATTTTATTTACAAGAAGTCATGAAACAGTTGAGCAGAAAAAGATGAGAGGATTTTTAAAAAAAAAAAGTTTAGATAGAACAGACCACCTATTTTTAGATGTTGAAAGTAGAATGTTTAGAGAATATTAGATATTTATAATTAATTAATTCTGATTCATGAACAGAATAAAGAGAGTTAGATGGATTTAACTTATAGGCTTTCTCCAGTCTTTTAACACTTTTCTTAGCTAATTCACAAGCATAGTCGAACCAAGGAGCCTTACGAGGATAGAGCCTATATGTAAAAGATTTAAGAAGAATAAGCTTATCAAAAATAGAAGTTATGTAGATATTAAATACTGCGTATCCCCTGGACATCGCGAACAACAAATAAGACGGTCTTGGACCGTATCAAGCCAAAAATGTCGCTTGAGGGCAAAATCGTCAAACAACTCTCCTTTTTCGGCCATGTTATGCGCGCAAATTTGCTGGAAACTTCAATGATGCTAGGTAAAGTGAGTGGGACAAGAAGAAAAGGACGACAAAGAATACTTTGGCTTGATACAATCACATCGGCCACCAAAATGACGATCTCAGAACTTAAAATAATCGTCGAGGACAGGAATGCATAGAGAAGACAGATCCATAAAGTGGCCGAAAGTCGACTTCGACTAAATGGCTAATCATCAGATATTCAAAGCATATACAAAATCATCAACATCAGAAAATAAGGAAGTATCAAAAATAGTTTCAGTAAGAGATTGAAAAAAAAAATCTTTAATAAGAAAAGATCAGCACCTTTTAGAAATAGACATTGATGAATTAGAAGGAAGAAAATCTAAAGAAAATACAGATTTAATAAGATGATCAGAACAAGGAACAAAGCTAGCAGAGATTAATAGGTTTAGAAAAAGATGAAGCTATAATAAAATCAATTGCATTACCAGAAGTATGAGTAGGAAAAGCACAATAATGTGTTAAGGTAAAAAGAGACAAAATATCATTAAACCTACGAGTGTAAGAAAAAGATAAGTTATTGAAGTGAAAGTTGAAGTCACCAGAAATATAGAAAGGAATAGAAAAAGAGTAGAGAGATTCAACGATTGAGTAAAATTCATCTGAAAATATATAGAGAAGAAGGTGGTTGATAGATTACAGCAATATAAAAAGATAGAGAAAAAGACTTAGAAGATACAACAAGACATTCAAAAAAAGAAGGAAGGTTATTGGTCAATTACACTCTTCCAAAGTTCAGAGGATTCAATAAAGCGCTCAAACATGTGATAGGCGGTGATCTTTTCGTCATATTCAAACCCGGTTACTGTGAAACAGCACCAGGCGACCATAACTATTAGATCATCAAAGAAGTATTAATGGAAGCAGTAAATAGAGATTTATAGAATAAACAGACACCCACATAAGAAGAATGAGAGGATGAGAGAAGATTTAAAAAAATGTCAAACCAACTAACCCCTCTGACAAAATAAAACTACAAATTTATTATAGGAATGCAAAGACATCAAACCTTGCCATGAACAACAACTGCAATCTTCAACATGGTTCGGCTTTAAAACGTAGCCATCTGATATATGAATTTACATGTCCCCTTGACGGCTGTGCACGCCAGATAGTTTCATATATCGGAGTAACTACAACATCGCTAACTAGACGTCTGACCATGCACAAAAAGAAATGTTCTATAAAAACACACTTAGAACACACACACAATATTGAAATTACAAGGGAAATCCTGGAAAACAACACCAAAATAATATACTGTGATTCCAGACATTCCCATCTGAAATTCTCATGGACATAAAACAACCAAAGATTTCAACAATACTCCCGACAAGAAGGACAATAATAAAATATAGTTACAACAATAATGATACCAAAGAAGACACTAAAGAAAGAAACAACGGCTATCAAAGCAATAAAATACAACACCGAAGAAATATAACATAATAACCTGCAATAACCTGCAACAAGTACTGGGTTATACAAATTCTCTATATAAACTGCAACAAATGCAGAAGATGATTGAAAAATCGAAGTAGGTTCTATACACTCAAGAATGAATTGGAAAACTGTAAATTATTTTAACGTTAATAAAATAAACAATGACAACAAGAATTTGATTCAAAATATTGTGAAATGTAATAGCTAGAAAGCTAGAATAATAGCTATAATAGCTGTAATAGCTATCCAAAGCTAGAAATTTGGTAGATTTAATAAGCTACTGCATTAATTTTGGTCTTTCACCAGCATATATATATATATATATATATATTTAAAATATTTTTTAAATTCTACCGAATGTTTGGCGTTAATATATTAGTAGTTCGTTTTTTCGATTTTTCTCATTAAAGTTTTAAAAATTATGGTTAATTACCAACATATATATATATATATATATATATATATATATATATATATATATATATATATAAGAAAACTTGAAAAGCGACTTTTATGGAAATATATATATATATATATATATATATATATATATATATATTTGGTTGAATGTTCTTACCCATTTTGTATTAATTAATTTCTTTTGGGTTTGTTCAATAAGACGCAATTGTTGTAACTCAATTTTATTAAACTCGTCAAGCATTTCGAACGGCTGACGACGTCGTTTCGACAGTGTATGTCATCATCAGAGCCTACGTTTAAATTATTAAATATGAATTGAATATTTAAAATTGTAAAATCAGGAAGAATAAACGAACCAAATTGGGAAAATATAAGCATAAAATGATTAAGGAAATTAAATTAAAATTAATGTAAAAAGTATACGAAATTTGAATAAAGGTACTTAACTTGTCAATAAAATAAATTAAATGTTAAGATAACTGATAATAAAATATACAACATACAAAATATGTTGAATGAATTTCAAAAGTTAAATACTGGAAGTGAAGGTAGAAGTACGAATATCGATATTGCAAATTTGGAATGACAACGAAACGTGTGTGGAGTGGTGGGATGGTACGAGTGTATATGAATAAATATATTATGCTAATGCGTGAATATGTGGAATAGAAATGTAAGTGATGTTAATTATCGATTGTAAATGAAGTAAAGCATAGATATTAATTATCACATAAGGTAGTGAGTGACGCGACGACATAGGATTTACGACGATTAGTGACAAACTGCGTATTGGCAGGTTGGAGTTTGTCGATTGTAAAACGATATTCGTATCGTTGTGGTACTGTCACCTGCTGTGGATCGTTTCTGACGTGGAACGTCGGCGTCGAATTGCTATATTGGGAGAATAGCTGGAGAGTGTGGTCGAATCTATTGGTTTGTTTGTTCATGGTTGGTTTACATTTGTTTACGTGCAGGGCCTCACGGATTTCAACCTACCCGGGTGAGTTTCTGTGTCGAGTATTTTGGTATTCGCATCAAGTATGGCTCGCGTGAGGTTCGTACGGTGCGCATTAAACATATGGTCCTTAATGCCACCGTCCTGTACATGTAAGGTGAGCCTGCGGGAGAGAGTAGTACGAGTATGAACGATGTAGTTATCCACAACGCAGTGTGGCACAGGACACGTAAAACCTTATATATATATATATATATATATATATATATATATACATATTTATATATATACCATTTATATATATATATATATATTTATGTTGGTAATAGACCATAATTTTTACAATATTCTATAAATTCTACCGATTGTTTGGCGTTAATAAACGTTTGTAGTTCGTTTTGTAAACGTTAATTAAGTTGGCGTTAATATGTTTGTAGTTCGTTTTGTAAACATATTAACGCCAAACATTCGGTAGAATTTATAGAATATTGTAAAAATATATATTTATATATATATATATATATACTACATATACATATGTATATATACAACCCTACAACATTCGCCGTACAATTTTGTGAATAAGCGGCCAAGATCACCAGTTTAATTTTTACTTTTTTTTGCAGTACACCGGAATATGTACAAATCGGCAAGCTTCTTTCAATTTTTCCTATAAAGTTCCTTGTCCTAAATTTTTATAAAACTACATATAATTTTTGAATTTGATACGTATATTATGTTATTCGACAGCTAATTTTTAAGATTTTTACAATTCAATGCTATTTTTTCCTTGAAGGTGCTGTTTTTATTCCAGCAAGCTTGGCGTATCTTATCGGCACAAACATTTTTGGACCTTTAGCCTACAAAATGGGCAGGTAATTTACTAAGATTAAAAAAAACTAAAGCATA